GATCTCATCGCCTTTAAGAGGCGATGCCCTCCCCCTCTCATTCCTCGCTCAATCCTGGAAACCCTTACCTTTATAATATACATTCCTCCGTTTCTCTTTCCCTGTTTTTGTTGTCTGTAAAGATCTGTGGCCGTCGACGTCTTCCGGCGGTTAGGGGAAACCTTTTCTTGAAATCCGGCGAGCGCGTGTAGTACACGTCCCACCAATACATGTGTTCTACGCCACCTAAAAACGATCGATTTCCCCTCCGAACCACAAGAATTCAGCGTCGACGCTGCAATTCATGGCGTCTGCCGTCTTAGCTAGCCGGAATGAATCGAGTTGGGCCCAATCCGGTGATGCCGGTGGTGGATTCATGGGGAAAACCCCTTATTCTCATCCTCATCTGAACCCTAGTTCTAACCCCAAGAAAAAACAGAAACACTTCCATCAAGCGGCGAACGGCCGACCTAACGACGATTCGCCGGTCGTCACGCAGACCGCCTCAGATGATGCGTATTCGTTCAATCAACGGCCTATCGAATCGAATGGCCTCAATTTCGGAGGTTATTTGACCTACAACATCACGTCGTACACGAAAAGCGAGCTCAACGAGCTTCGGAAACGGCTGGTATCGGAGCTTGAACAGATCCGTAACCTGAAGGATCGAATCGAGTCGGGTCACTTCAGCACCACCGTTAATAACCCTAGATCTCACGGGAAATCGAAGAAATTATCGTCAAATAAGCGGCCGGTGTCCTTTGGATCCAATAAAGATCCGAAAAAGTTTTGTAATGGTGTTGATAATGTTAGGAATGTTGGTGTTGTTAGCGGAGGAGGGATCAAAGGAATCGGTCTGGAGAATATGATGAAGGATTGTAGGCAGATTTTGTCGAAGCTGATGAAGCATAAAAATGGTTGGATTTTCAATACGCCCGTAGATGCGGCCTCCCTGGGTCTTCATGATTATCACCAGATTGTTAAGAGGCCCATGGATTTGGGCACGGTAAAATCCAATTTTGCCAAGAATCTGTATCATACTCCAGCTGAATTTGCTTCTGACGTGAGGCTGACTTTTAATAATGCCTTGTTGTATAACCCCAAAACGGATCAAGTTCATGGATGGGCTGATCAGCTTCTGGCTAGATTTGAAGATTTGTTTAGGCCTATCCAAGAAAAACTCATTAGAATTGAGAGCGAGCGAAGAGATTTGTTGTCTGCTGATGAGTTGCACTCTTGGAATCACATCCCAACTCCTGAGAGGCCCAAGAAGCCGAAGCCTAGTCCAATTCCTCAAGTTTCTAAGAAACATGAAAGGTTGCAGAATCACTCCAGTGCTTCTACACCATCGGCTCCGCCTCCACCTCCCAATCCTCCTCCACGCCAGCAATCCCCTGTCCCGACTCCTTCTCCAATGAGAGCGCCTCCAGTGAAGCCACAGGCGGTGCCATCTCGGGGGCCCATGGTGAAACAACCGAAGCCTAGGGCCAAGGATCCAAATAAGAGAGAAATGAGTATCGAGGAAAAGCATAAACTTGGACTTGGATTGCAGAGTTTGCCTCAAGAGAAGATGCCCCAACTGGTGCAGATTATAAGGAAGAGGAACGAGCATTTGGCACAAGATGGTGATGAAATTGAGCTGGACATTGAGGCTTTGGACACTGAGACTCTTTGGGAGCTTGATCGATTCGTGACCAATTGGAAGAAGATGGTGAGCAAAACCAAGAGACAAGCTTTAATAAGTAATTTAACAGCGCCAACTGCTGCTGCAGCTGCAGCTGCTACGACATCCAACGCCGAGGAGGATGATGGGGTAATGCATAATAATTCTTGCTTATTTGTGCATAATAGTCATGCTTGCTTGTTTGAATGCCTTATGCATTTTGGGAGTTTGAAAGCCCTTTGCCTTCTCTGAGAGTGGAACTGCAATTGCTCATTGTGTATATCTTTTTGGTTGATTTACAGGCTGCTCTAAGCGAGAAAATGGATATGGATTCCCCCAAGAAGCCTAAAAAGGGTGAAGCTGGGGATGAGGATGTTGACATTGATGATGATATGCCTGCTACCAGTTTTCCTCCTATTGAAATTGAGAAGGACGAAGGTGGTGGTCGAGATCCTGATAATAATGGCAGTAGTAGCTCTAGCAGTTCAAGTAGTTCAAGCAGTGATTCGTCTTCTTCAAGTGGTATATATCCATTAAGAGAGTTCTAAGTTCTAGTAACATTGTTTTCACAAGTGGAATTGTGAGGGAATGTTAAAAGCTTAATACTATTAACTCTTGCAGGCTCTGATTCGGGGAGTTCTTCCGGGAGTGACTCAGATGCGGATGATGCACAATCTTGATTCTACCATGCCCAAGTTGAAGAGGCTCGAGAATCATCAGCTCGAGCTGTGGCACTCACCTTTTGTCGGTCTTTGTTACCTATGCTATTGTTTGTAATGAGGTACATATGAGTGCAATTAAACTCTTTGCACTTCTCCATTTGCATTTATGGAGATGGAATGACCTGAAATGCTCCTTATTAAACAATTTCAGGTGTAGTGCCCAGCTTGTGGAGGAAAGAAGATAGATGCATACTATGTATTGGCATTTGAGGTTGCTTTTAGTTATGGCTCTTTAATGATTAATGATAGGGAAAATGAGAGAGATGTAGATGGTTGAGACTTCAGATACCCTCTGTACAGTTGTAATACATGTTGATCATTGTCTTCTGCAATTCCCATTCTTTCATACCTTCCTTTGTCCAGTGTTAGTGTTTGGAATTTGTTTTATATTCTGGCATCTTCACAGTTGTGCTTTAGCTTAAGATTGCCAGACATGATTTTGTGTATGCTAGATTCTAACTTAGCATTTGAACAAAACTCTTTTCTCCTTCCATTTTGCAACCTCTAAGCCCTAAGCTCTTGTTGGCAACTTCACAAATGTTTGTATGTTCTGTAATGGTTTACACTCTTAATTATGCTAGCAAGTAGACAATATTGTGGACGAACCTGGGTTAAGTTGGTCAGACTATAAGCTATGTGTATTCTAGGTGGTTTCCTTTTTTGGTGATCGACATTAAGATCGAGTTTATCTAATGCACACCCTCGAATAGTGGTGACAGGTTTCCTCTTTCAATCAAGAAAAAAAAAAAACAACACATCCCTGCCTGTATACCACCTTCATAGGGAATTGGGATGGAAATGGATGGATATGGTTTGGTTAGACATGAATGCTTTGTAACCTTGACTGGCTGCCTGCAATGCCTGTCTTGTCTGTCAACCATTTTATTTGTTGCTATATATGTGAGTGAAATCTCTGTAAATAAATGTTAGATAATCCAGACATTTTAGTCCACAAAACCTGTTTCTATAACACCCATGTCTGTGTGTTTCTCTGTCACTTCATTTAAGTAATTCAATGTGTTTGGTACCTTTCAAGCAGGAAAAGCAGAAGTAAATAAATTCCAGAAACAGAGTTTTGTGTGTTTTAAAATATCTTTGGTGTTGTATACTTGTATATACAGCAATTAGGGAGATATTTTATTATTATCATATCATATAAAAAGTGTGTTGTGTTATTGCTGGAGAAGTGAGGAAATTATATTCTTTTCTTGATAGTGACTCAGAACCATGACTTTAACATATACTTGACTTGACTCAGTAGTGTTATAGGAAGCTTCCAAAAATCCATTCTTCTCCTCCTGCCCAGCTTAAATATGAAGGTGGAGACTTTTCTGCCAAAAAGTTGAAGGTGGTTTTGGAGAAAAAATGTCAGAAAGGTATCATTGCCACGTAGATCTTAATCTAATATTACAAATTCAATCTCAAAGTTCGAGTTAAAGCATGTTTTTAGAGAGCAAAATATACTAGTTGATGGTCTTGTCGAGATGGCCTGAGTTAGTAAACTCTAACTGTAAGAGACACTTTTAAATTCGTTCCATACCCAGACTAATTTTCATTTGCACGGGTGGGGGCCGGTCCAATTAAGAACTCTTTTACATTCGTTCCATATCCAGACTAATTCTGACTTCTCTTAAGAAATGAAAGTGCATGGCCATATTAATTTTTTCATACGAGAAAATGGTTCGAATTCCTGACCTCTCTTAAGGAATGAGAATGCACGGTCACCCACAACAACCAAGCTGGTTAGCCTTGGGTTTCGTTGCCTCGCAAATGAGAGAAATCTCATCAACCAAATATTCAAAGCCAATATGTGTGTGGCTGAAAATTGAATGACTCCCCTCCAAATACGTAGTAGGCCAATAAAGCCACAAGTGGTGTTTGTATAAACAATCAAATCATACAAGCAATGAAGGAGGAGAAATCTTTCATTTAATGCCACATGTAAGAAGAGTGTATTACGTCCCATTTCCACACCCACCCCATCCATAACCAATGCATCAAATTGGCTCAAAAGCATCTTAAAACAATCTCAGTCTAAAGGAGAATATAAAGTTTGAACGCAACTCAAATTACAAATTATTAAACCATTAATGAAGGAGTGTAATTCATGAGATTCAGATGGTACATGTTTTTAAAAAGCAAAACAAAGTTGCAGATTGCCTTACCTTGCCAAGAAGCCCAACATGTCATTGCAACACGGCCGAGGACTCTGAGTTGTTATACCATGAACCAGAGACCACCTTGCAAGGTGAACCCTGACCCTAAACGACGTATAAATTGTGTATTTTTAGTATTAGAATTGTGGACTTCTAGAATATAAATTGTATATATAACAGCTTTTTAGTATTAAAATTATGAACTTCTAGAATATAAATTGTGTATATAACAGCTGTAGAAGGGAATTTGTGAATACAATACAGGGTCACTAAATCCTGATCCGTTAATAATCAATTACATATATGTTAACATTGTGCGTTTGTAGTATACAAATTGTAAACTTTTAAAAGTTAATTTGTGAACATTTAATAGGTAAATTATGAACATTTGGACTTAGTCCACATGAAAACCATTATGGACATATGTAGGATACAACAATTAATCTAGTTGATCTGCACAAAGTATTATCAAAATCCTCTCCACCCAAAAACATTCAATTAATCAAAGCAAACATGGAATGAATTTCTCAAAAAGCTCATTTTTTTAAAGCCTTTTCAAGATACAAAGTGGATCTTGCCTGTCTCTCCTACCAACATTTTGGCAAAAAATTGGAGTCTACTTGAACTGAGGATGATACAAAGTTACAGACAACAAAAACATAGACACAGCAAGGAAAATGGAGGCCATGAGATTAAATTCACAAAGTACATATGATACAATTGATGTCAAGATTATCTGCTGGTGATGGGTTTAAAGAATTAAAAAAAAAAAAAAAAAACAGAGAAAAATCTATCTATACAGTATGTTAAAACACAGTAAAAAGTTAAAAAAGGACTGTCCAGCACCAATATCAAAACTGGGTACCTTCTTTTAGTCTTTCTACAAAAAAAAAATGGTAACTTCTAAAGTTCTAATCATCATCTGCAAGAAGGCGGTTTTTGTTCGAAGCAACTTTCTCAAAGAGCTAACGAGTGCGATTATCCTGTTGTTTTTGTCTCAGTAGAGGCGCAGGTAGCCCGGTCTCCCGGATCTCTCTGTACCTCCCGTGCCTCTTCTAACAAAAGATCTCCGGTTGAGGGACCAACTTCTTCTCATGGCCTGTCGTCTTCTCCAGGCCATTAGTTGGTTACACAGAGTTGGAAAAAGGAAGCAAAGGAGAACAAACAGTAACATAAAAACACAGAGAACCATGACATTGCGGAATCCATCCTTCAGGGCCGGTTCTGTTTGGTTAGTCCACGGAACTCCCCCCACATTCATCCCAAACACTGTTAGAGAACCGAGAGAGAGAGAGAGAGAGATAAAGAGGGCGAGAAATTAATGTCAGATGTTCTCAGTATATGTGAAGATTAAACGAAAAGGTTCGTGTAAAGAATGTCACCTCCAGTTATTATCGATAGAGGAAGAAATATGATGGATAAGAAGGAAAGGTAGTAAAGTTTCTTGTTTATTTGCTCGGCTTGCCAGGTATCAAGACCAGTCTGGACCGCGTTAACACGATTGGCTATAAACCTGACATTCTCCTTCAGTCTCCTCAGTCGACCAATTAACTCTTCCAGGGAGACGATGTCTTCACTGGCAAACCAATCTTTTGAAGAACACTTCTCCTTAACTCTTGGATATACTTGCTCTCCATATGAAATTACCTGCAATATTGTTCTGAATGACTACGATATCGCTAGATTCTACGTACTATATCATCTCATAAATTTCATCAATCCTATCGTATTTAGCGATGAGAACAGGTTATTGCTGACAAGCAAGCAACATAAGCATGCCTATAGCCCTGTTGGTAAAAAATTGGCCTATAGGCCAATTTTGGCTTTTTTGATCACTATTAATTGTTTGATTTAGTTAAAATATCAATATAAGTGTTTGGTTAATTAGCTTTTTGCAACTCCAAAATGCTAAAATTCAAAAAGCTACTCCAGCAACTTTTTCAATTAGCTTTTTTAGAAAAGAAATTATACCAAACAGCTATCAGCTAACAGCTAATTTACCAAACACTTTTCTACAACAGCTAATGTTATCAACTAGTTATACCCTCTAATTAACACAATCAGCTAACAGCCATTTACCAAACAGGGCCATATATGTTCATATTTCTCTTATAATTTCTGCATTTGAACTTTCTAATGCTAAAGAAAAGGAGAGAGAGAGAGAGAACATTCAAATGCTTGACAATTGACCAGAATAATAGTCTATAGCAACACAAAGTAGACTACAAGACATGGCAGGAAATATACCTGTAGAAGGCGTTGCAAATCGAGATGCATTTTGGGAAATCTTTGGTCATCTAACATTAGTTTCTTTATGGCAAACCCACCTGACCAGAAACCAAGAAACAGAAAACCCAACAATCAATTGTGGAAAGAAATACGCATAAAGAGCAAAAAAGAAAGGATTTTGGCCATTCGGAAGCCATGTTTAGGCGTCAAAACAGTACAATTCCAGTTCAGATGCAAACATACCTCTATCTAATTCCAATTCCACTGAATCCAACTCTATCTCGAGGTTTGTCACGATGTCTTGGAGCTGATCCACATGTGTGTCGATAATGTGAACAAGAAGATTCGACACTGATTTGGGTACGGGATTATCTGCTTCCTCGGAGTGATTCATTGTCAGTAGAAACTCAAGAACGTGCTCCCTAATCACAATCCCGCCTCTTTCCTTATGTTCTGAGCTATGATTACTGGGACTTTCCACAACCGGAACCTCTGAGAGAAGCGACTGGTTAATGGGAGAGAATCCCAATCTTGGAACACGCCCCAACGAGATCGTTATTACTGAATGTTCAGTAACTCTCGCTGCAATCCTAAACGTAAATTTACTCGAAGCAGGTCCAGGTGAATTCACCCTGAAGACGAGAGACCCATCCACATTCCCACAAAAGGGTCCATTGCTAACAAGCGAAAGAATGTCCTGGAGCTTCAATGGAGGACAGAGCACATCAATAAGGTTTTGTGCAGATTGTGAAAGCTTCTGATTAAACTTGGGAAGCTCAACATGGTACCAACAAAACTCCCTCCCTGCACCCTCTGAGATATCCCATTCCTTGTTATAATAGTTCCCATCTCCATCAAAAATATATGATTTTAGCCTCACCTCTCTAAAACTACGCATTCTCAATCGAGTTCGCCTAACCTGTGTATGGGATAATGGCACTGTCTCCATTTCCTCTCCTATTGCCTCTCCCTCCCCCTCCCTATTCTCCCCTTCATTACTAACCTCCATATTTACCAAAGCTATCATCAATCAACTCATACAACAACAAAATCAATCTTGTTTTATTCAACTCTGCTAAGAACTATTCAAATAGACATAGCTTTGTTTCTCATATACACCACAAGAACAATACTTTCACCCAAATGCTACAATGAATAGTCAAACAAAAACCAAATGGCAAAAGAATTCAAACACAGAAACCAGCCCAGATTCAAATTTCAACTTGTTAATTCATAAGAAAAATATCAACACATACCCAATGTTGAATCACGGTCGCCTGCAAATCATCACCTTTTATTGCACATATACGTTGGGAAAATGAAACCCCAAAACCAAAACCCATTGAAGCTTCTCAATGGAACAGCAGCATCCCTGAAGGTGCCGCGGATTCGAACCACGAAACCCACCAAATGCGTTTCAAGAACAACCAAATAGTCAAATGGAAACGGGTTCTGTGAATTGACGAATTCAGGAAAGGGAAAGAAAGAGAAAAAAAGAATTCCCAGAAAAATACGGAGTAATGTTTTGTGGGTTGTGAAACACAATTGACAAACGACAGGTCTAAAATAGAAATAGAAATCCAATAAATTTACAGATTTCAACAGGCTGAGAAGCTTCTTTGAAGCTTCCCCAACCACTATCCCCTCCAAAACATTTTTCTTTTTTTGGTGGGATTATTGAATGTCTGAATATATATGTTATTATACTCCATTACGGCACCACGCACATTTTTATAAAATATATTTTTTTCTCTTTTTTCAAAGAAAAAAAACAAGTCTCCACCGTCGAACAAAGCGCATTTGGATCCATGTCTTGTATTCACGTTATTACTTAATTTGGTTTGGATCGCATCCATCACGTCAGACTTCAGATTTATTTATTTATTGTTTTTAAAAAATTTCATTTCTTTAAAAAATTATATTTAAAGTCTATCATATTCTTTCTTTAATGGGTTGTCAAAAATTCGTACCTCAACCATGTCCACCATGTTTGCCAGGTTCTTTCTCAAGAAATGAATGTGGGCTGCATTGAAAGACTGGAAAATATGATCCTTCCCTGTCAAACCATTGATAGAAATCAGTTTATTGGCTTTAGCTTCACACTTCATGTAATCATGTGCTCTTAGTATTGTTTTCAGGCAGACGATGACGACGTATGGCCCGCGGACTAGCTCAATTGGTTCGATCGAGTCTTGCTCCAATAACAGTGTGAATGTTCGAATCTCACTGAAATCTAGAGATTATTGGGAATCTTCTAGTCGATCAGAGTACAGGTAGGGGTAGGAACCGGTGTAATGTAGCGGATGTGACGGAAAGGTATGTTTAATTAACAAAGTTCAGAAGTACTGAAACTTGTATCTGGGACATGAAAGTGATGGTTCAGAGTAAGCACTCAATTATTTCAAATTCTTATTCAAGAATAATCATATGTAACTTGATGCTTTAGGCAACACAGATAGTGACTGAACACTTAGCAATATTGGATATGTACGGTTTTCTTCTTTGAGAAATGAGGGATGAAGTTTGGGACTATTTAGCTAAAAGGTGTGCCTTTTTATTAGAAATGGAAATGGTAAAAGAACCCATATTTTTACAATCATATAGTAACGTATGGTTCAGTTAGTTTTTGTGAGCAGGACACACAGATTATGCAGTCATAGTATGAAAGTTTCACTCTCTTCTTGTAGGGTGGCTCCTCCTAGGTAGGACCAGCCGACCAGGCAATGAACTTGTGAAAGTTTCATTCTCTTCTTGTAGGGTGGCTCCTCCTAGGTAGGACCAGCCGACCAGGCAATGAACTTGTGAAAGTTTCACTCTCTTCTTGTAGGGTGGCTCCTCCTAAGTAGGACCAACCGACCAGGCAATAAACTTTCCACCTAATAATTATGACCTTCATGTGCGGATGGATGACTCTTTCTGGGTAGGACTAAACACTAGTCCTCTTATTTAATTCGTCATTAAATTATTGTCATATATCCCCACAATTATATTGGGCCGGAGTATGAGAACCCCTGGAGCGAGGAGTTTTGTCTTTTGGTAAGCAAGAAATGTATGAATTATACTCTGTAATACACAATTGTCTTCATCAGTACATGACTATGCTACCTAGGCTAATATAATAATACTAATAACAAAAAAGAAAACAGCTAAATAAGATGACTCCCTCAAATACATCTTCCTAAACAAAGAGTAACAAGACTCCTTCAACCATGACTTATTCATAGTATTTGCCTATTGAAATCTCTTATCTCACCTTCTCTCATACAATCATGATTCCATCCATCAAACATATCGAGGAAGTTTAAGTTGCTCATCTCCTATTCACTGCAAGCCACTCATTATACTCGTCCATCCGAATTATGAATGAGCTTGAACTTGGAGAACCACCTCCACCATATGCCTTCACATGTTTGAAGAGAAATGAAAATCCGTTGTCAGTGTTACAGCAGTAAAAAAGGTGATAAGAGAGCACAGCCATTTTTTCAGAGTCACTTCTCTTGCATCTTGTGGTGATTCCCTCTCAATGAGGTGTTTTAGGGTGGGGGTGGCAAAGTCTCGAGAGGCGAACAAATGACTAAACATGATGTAAACTGCATACCTTAGCAACTTCAGAAGTATCAGTAGTGCTATCAGTACTCCTCAAGCACATTTTAAGATTATTCCTTTGCATGTAGATGACAGCTCCAATTGGCCTGCGACACAATTCAAGATATTGGCAAACTATTAGTGTTTTTGCCAATGGCAAAGAGAACAATTAGTACTAGAACATCGGGGAAAAAGGAAATGCAACATTGAACACCGAAGATAATTTGAATATGCCCACCTCAGTCCAGCTGCTGCACTCTTCCTACTCAGTTCCTTCCCAATTTCATCGCTTAGATCCGAGTTTCCATCAGCTCTCACTCCCTAAAACCATACACAAGATCCAATTTAAGCGTCTAGGGTTAGCATCTGAGCATATCCAACATTTTAATTTCCCGTTCAATGGGATGAAAAATCTTCCTCTTCTCCATTACCAAACATGAGCCATAAAGTCCCCTGCCCAATTGAAGTTTGACAACCTTGTCCAGCAACTTATTTGCAGCATTCTGTCTACTGGATATATAAGACTTGCCTTTGGCAATTAAATCCCCAACTTTCATCTCCATTAGCTGTTTGTAATGAAAATGAAAATATCATCATTTGCTCAACAAAGGGAAATGAGAGGCAATTGTCCAATTCAAAGCTAAAATGAAGCATAGGAAATATGAAACTTCTATTTGAAGTATCTATATTGCAGTCAAAATCAACCATGAACCTGTTCATACATGAGTGGATTAGTGATGCAATTCAATCTTGGACGCCATTCACTGAGCCCTAAATTGAATGCTCTAATATCAGGCAAGCTCCACTTACGAAGGTCTCCATCTTCAATGTATTTCAACACCATATCCATTTGATCTTGGACTTCAGAGTTTAGCAAGCACATAGTGTCCCCCTTCTATAAGCAGGGAAATTCAATGAATGTAAGCATGTTCTTAATGAGATTGTGCAAAATTAAGCATTTCTTGTGAAATTGGGGGAAAAGAAAAGCACCTCACTGGCATCAGTAGAGCCAATCAATGAAAGTTTAGAAGAGAAATACTCATATGCAGCACGAGAGCTACTCTTCTCGAGATTGACCTGAAATCTGAGACTCTCATCACATTCCTCCATCGAAGGGACACTGGAAACCACCGATTTTCGGTGATCAAACGCTAACACCCTAGTTTCATCAATAATTTACCAGTAAGCCACCATAGACTTCCAAATACCTTAATAAATAACAGGCCTTTATACAGTGAGAAACAGAGAGGAGAGTTCATTTACTCGCATGAAGTTCGCCTCCTAAGCTCCAAAGCCAGCCCTTTGGGCCCAATAAAATCGAGAAAGTAGCATTTCTCGACGCCTTCAACACACAAATCTTCAACTCTATCACAAACACAAAATACAGACTACTCTAATTAAAAAAGGAACAACCTTCATTTCACTAATGAGGAAAAGACATGATATACTTAGCATAAATTACACGAGTTAAATCAATAAAACATTTTTCAAAAAGTTTAGAACTTTGCCTGAAATTCACAATTTGTGTTTGATATTTAAAGGTAAATGTAGAACGAAAAATCACCTGAAAGGTTCGACGGAAGAGAACGGCAAGACGAGGTGAGGCAGATTGAGACGATCGTGATAGAGGTGAGCGAAAAGCGCAGCGAAAGCACCGGAGAATGAAGGGTAGTTATAAAGAATGATATTCGGAGTTTTGGCTTCCGACGCTTTCGCTAAGGCTTCCAGAGCCGCGTCTGATCGGAAACTTCGAGATAACAGCGAGACAAAGCCGACCGGCAGGCTTCGACCGGCGACGGATGCAGCCATTAACGCCGACTAGAGCTGCTCGTGTAAGGGAGCAGTAAAAGCGCGGCACCTATTTTTAATCTATTTACCAAAATGACCCACGTTAACCTTAGTTATTGAACACGTGTCACGTGACACCATATACGTTCATCAATATTTATAGAGTTCCTAGATTATGGGTAATTATCAATTTGATCATTGACTATCATTTTTACCTAATTAAATATTCAATTATGTAATTTTTATTTAATTTAGTCTTCTGTTAATTTAATTGTTAATTTAACTGTTTATTGACTGTCAAAAGTGAGGATAAAGTTATAATTTTATAAGCTTTCTCCTTCATCCTCATTTAGCAGCACCAAATCATGCAACAATAAGCTTCGGTCGGCTTCCAAACCTGTCAGTTTCAAAGCTGTGGTTGTGTCTCGAAGAGCCTAAGGATTTGATTTCCAACGATTTTTTAACTATCAAAAGCCGATCGGAGCATATTGTTGCATGGTTTGGCGTTGCTAAATGGGGATGAAGGATAAAGCTTGTAAAATTATACTCAGTAATTTTATCCCCATTTTTGACAGTCAATAAATAGTCAAATAACATTAACAGAGGACTAAATTGGAGAAAAATTGAATAGTCGATGACTTAATTGGATAAGAATTGTAGTTGATAACCAAATTGGTAATTACGTCATAGTTGAGGGACCATTTTGATTATTAACTCACATTTATATTCCAATCGAATCAAATATTGACAGCTGTCAGTTGCAAAGCAGAAAGCAACGCCGAGGAACACTGGATTATTACGTCCTGTTGCCCGCGCCATATTTAATTCCTCGGACGAATGGAATCTTGAGATATTTTCTTCTCTCTCCTCTTGAGCTTCACTTGTACTCCGTATTTCTCAACGACTGTTTACGTACATACATTCTTTGCTTCTCATCTCGCCTGGACTCGCGACCCGCTTTAGCTCTCGAGCGGGTACGCCAATGTCCGATGAGAAGCAGATTTTCACATGCCATGATGGCTTGTGTTTTACGCGTGTATCGTTATCTGTATCAATAACTGTGTACGTATGTCTGTATGTACGCACACAGTTTTGTTTCTTGCTTCTGAATCTTCTGGAAATCCGTTAGCATGCATTTTTCGTTTTATGTTTTTATCATTTCGATCGTTATCTGGGGGAAGTGTATGAGTTTTGATCTGACTATCTGAGCATTTTTTTTGTTCGTTTTTAACTTTTTGATTTTTTAGGTTATATGAGCTTCGATTTGTCAAACTATGGTGAAAGTTCACTTTTTCTTTTTTATTTTGGAGAGGTTTCTGATGTGTGTGTATCCAGTCCTACTACTCAGGATTCATATGTGTTTTTGGTTTGAAAAAGTTTGATTCTTTTAAGGATATTGATTGCCGTGTGGTTGGATAGTTGTAAATTCTAACTCTTTTAGGTTTACGGTATGCTTATATCCTTTTGATTTTTTCTAGTTCTCGAGGCTGCAAGAGTTGTGGATTGTTCTGCTGCTGCATGGTCCAGCAGCACAAACGAATAAAGAATCTTAGTGCCTTAATTTCCGTGCCTGTAGAATAAAAATGAGATTGTTTATAGTGTTTTGCTGAGAGTTGAATGGTTTAGACAATTCTGTCCATAATAAGGATGCCAATGACATAACAATGGAGATAGACTTATCTAGTGAGATTCTTTTAGGTTAATGTACTACATAAGGAATTTCTCATATTTGTTTGAAAAAAAAAACATTTTTTATTGCGCATTCCTAGTTTCATATGAAATGATAAACTCCATTAATATTTTTTAAAGGTTGGTTGAATTTAACTGTTTTCCTTTTTGTTTTCAAGACCTTTCTGACAATGCTGATCACCAAAGATACGCATATTAGTAAAAAACAAGGAAATTTTCTTTTATAAAGTGAGGGTCTTTTTACTTGTTCTTCTGGTGATCAACATCTCAAATGTCATAATCAAATCTGTGATTATGTGCCTTAGCACAAACTAATTGGTGATCATGAATCTCAAAATTGAGTATAGTTTCTGCAGCCTCTATTATTTTTTCATTATAGATACTGCAGTATTAGGTATGAGTTGAGCAGTATTAGAATTCAAGGGATATAGTCAGTTTCCTTAGAGAAGGATTGTCTAAGAGCCTATATCAGATTGAGTTCAGGAATTTTCTCCCTGAATTTGATGTGTTTTGGTCATCCTTTATTTGACTTTTGATCACTTTGGTTGTCGGTATTTTCTGCTGAACAGACTCTTAATGTGAAATGATGATCGAGAGCTGGCTCTCAATGGATATGATGATTGATGAATGTTAGTATTTCTCACACCTTTTATGATGGTATGGATGGATTTACTTGTCTATTAAGTCTTGGTAAGGTTTGTGGATGGATTAAAAATTCACCAAGACCAAGAGTAGTTTGGGTTTTGATAGATGAGTTATAACAATGGTTCTTTTGAATTATCCTTGATATTTAGATATTCTAATTAAATCTGTTTAATGACTTTCAACCATGTTTTCCTTTTTATTACTTTTTAAAGAATTTGAAAGGTAGTGGTCAAGTCTTGTGTCTTATGAAGGATTTTCTTTGAAAGGATACATAAGATAAGTTGTTTGTTCCATTGTTAGTATTTTTTGGGTTCAAGACAATATGATTATTGCCTCCTGTTAAATGCTTGGTAATTCAACTTCATTTTGGAGCTGCTTACTCAAGCCTTTAAGATATTTATCTCTCATGTAATTTATTTTAAAGTCTGTAGTGGATCTCCAATCTGATTAGGGTCTAAATGTGCAAATAATAACTAATATTAAAGAAACCTGTAACTCGATGTATATAAATGTTCAGCAAGGTTGTAATCAAACCTTGAATTTAACCTCAGTGATGGAGAGGGGATGCAATGATTGGAATGGAAAGGGAGAATGTTGGAGTATAAGTTTCAAAAAAGAATACAAAATGTCAAATGAATAGAGAGAGAAAAGGCAAGAGGAAATGAGGAATTACATATCTACGCAAGGTCGCAAGCCCTTGTAAAGTATTCCCATTTTGCTTACCTGAATTGTCTGTCCAGCCAATTTATCCTCTGCCATATTAGTTCTCTAAAACAGTGAACTGCATTGTATTGTAGCTCAGTCATCAGGATGGAATCTTTTGGCAAGGTACTAGGAGGGGCCACTGTGGAGATGATTTACAAAGAGGATGAGTCCCATGAGTTTGGAGTTGACTTGAATACATGATGAAAGCCCAACATGATAGCCTTAAGTTTGGCATATTGTTAGTACTCTCTTCAATGGGGGGATGTGGCTGCATCCATGTCTTCATTACAATCTGGAATAATTCCTCTAATACATCCAAGATTACCATTTGAAGCCCCACCATGTAGTTTTTAAACCAATATTATGATTGTCAGGTTTCAAGCAATTTTTAACATATGGAGGGGTCTAGTGTAACCTTCAAGAACATCAAAGATGTGTGGCCATTAGAACTTTTAAGGTGCAAGGATGGGAAACACAAATGAACTATATCAACAATCCAGCATCATTTAATTTGGTAAATATTCCTATTCCATGAGAGTTTCTTTTATCCACATATTTAATAGCATTCCTATATTTCCAAATATTGCAACCAATAATTCAAGGTAATATCTGGAAAACCTTAAAAAATAGTATTAGTAGATTTACCTGGCAATTTAAACATTAGTTGACTGGAGGATATATCAAGGATCTTGCACTCTATTGATTATCATTTTAATTTTCATCCCATAACATTCTTGTGCATTAAAATGCTTGATCTTCTTTCTTTATAAATTGGACTTTAGATTACTTGGTCTTCTTTATTTGTTCTTCTTATTATTATTGTTTTTATTAGGTAGGTTATTGCATTGCATAGAAACAATGAAGCTCATGTTCTATATCATGCTGCAGTAGTGCCATATCGTGGAATGTAATTGCTGACACTTTGCAAGGCATATAGGTCTTTTAACTTTTAACTTTTTTTTTTCTTTTCTAGGTTGACTCTAGGAAATATTTTTTTTTTCATTGAAATACTTCCATAGATTCTTGTTAGTCATATGACTGCATTTACATATTTTTAGTTTTGGACTGTTTCTCTCCCTTAGTTGGTGAGCTTGCAGTAATATATCTTACTAGATTCTTATGAACTAACTGTCTTAGTCCTATGATTGCACTGATGTGCTTTAGTTGTGGACAATCTCTCTCCTTGGCTCCTTGCTAAATTGATGTGATCGCTACAAGCCTGCAATAGATCTTGCAGAGTGTCCTTGTCTGCAATTCATTAGTCCTTAATTTACTGATACTGTTCCTCCTGATAGTATACAGGTCTACAGAAATATCTGTGATAATACTGACTTTTTTAATATAAAATTTTCCTGCAGTGCTGCTTTGACAAGATGGGAAAGGACACAACAAACTTATTGTGGTAAGAAATTTGATACTGTGGTCAGTTACTCTGACCAATTGGTACCTTAATATCAATCAAGCTAGCATATGTAGTATAATATCAGTATTCAACTAAATAGTCTGAACATGGATCATCTGCTAAATCATCCCTTGAAACATCACTGTTTTTTTTTTTTTTTTACATAACTTATAAGCATGCATTGTTGGTCAATTCAAAACAATCTTAAAGCTGCTTCATGTACTAGCGAAGCTGAATCTGATGGCTATCATACTTGGCTAACTTTAGTCTTTTATCCGAGTTAGAAGCATAATTCCCAAAAGCATCACCTTGCTGTGCATCTTGTTGATGCAGACTGATAACTGCCACAGTGCTGGCTAGTGCAATTGTAGCCTGTTACAGTATCAATGCTCAATTATGATTTTTGCATAAAAATTTGTACATATATCTGATTTGATTTATTTATTTAGGTTTTTTTTTTTTTTTTTTTTTTTTTTTTGGGTGGTTTGGGGTATGGAGCTTGAACTTGAAGTTTTCTTGGTCAGTTATAAGAGTAATTACCCGAGCTTCATTGGATTTGCTGGTGCTTCATTGATGTTTGTTTGTGGCTGGCTTAGCTGAAGATTTATTGGTACTAAGTCATATCCATTGCTGACTGTGTTTCTAGCCTGAGCACTTCCATTTGCTTCATTGATTCTCCCTGGTCCATAAACCTGGAATGATATTCTCTGCTTAGATTGTTCTGTTTGCCAAAGTTAAATTGAAAATATAGTTTGTATTCTTATAGACAATTCTGTCCAGCGATTACCTTGTTCTGCAATTCTGTATTCTCTTGATGAATGAGATTTAGGTTCTTACAGAGTTCCATGTTTTCTTGATGAACAAGACTTCCCTGCATAGCACAAGAGTCTTATATTCAGCAAAAGCATAAGTACAATGTAGAATGGATCATTCTGGTATCTATCCAACAACACCTTTCGGTTTAGTTCCTTGATCTCATCAGTCAAAATTTGCTCCTACAAGAAATAAGGATTCATTTAGGATTGTTCATAAATGGTTGAAATTAGATATCTGCAAACAGTAACTTGTGCCAAGTAGACAAGTACTTTACCTTTCTCGTTCGAATACCTTTCAGGCTCACTTCAAGTTGATTCTCCAGATTTGTCAGATCTTTGATGCTTAGCCCAGAAAGTTCTTTTCCCAAAAGCTGCCTGCATTTATGTGAAACAAAGAACTGGTATGCTTCTTGGTCTTTTGCTTTTGCTTCTGCTTCATTTAGCTTTCACCTTATCTTGATCTTTTTAGACAAAACTATCTTATGCATTTTCTAAAAACTGCCCTTAACATTGCATGGAAGCAACACATTCCTGTAAAATTTGGGATATCTTTTCTGATATTTGTTCAGAATTCGAAGTGTTTTATCTGTTACTCTTATATCTTCAGATTATGCTTCCTCAAAACTGAACTGCTGCATCAATCTTAGACGGCTCAAATAGACGGTAGGATGAACTTTAGGAAAATGAACGTGGGTTTTGTTAAGTATTTATCAGCTAAGAAGTCAAATAAGGAACTACAGAGATTTAGATTATCTGAATAAATGAGACTCTTACTCAAATATGTGGACTTAACTGATTTTCTAATGTCTAAAAAGGCTTATTATGTTCATGCTTTAAAAAGTAAAGTAAAATAGATGGAAGTTTATTACAACTTAGAACTCTAATTTCTTACTAAGCCAAAATTAGGTGTATTTTAGAGGTTCTAACTTACGTTAAGGTTTATTTATTTTTTTATGCATATGACATCCTGTATCCTCACCATTATGACTAACTTAGGCTCAACTTAGGTTGTGCCTAGAGTTTGACTGTTACTTGGGGAAGACCTGACTCATAGTTTTTCTTAAAAACAGAGTTGACCCTCTAACCTTGTAGTTGCATAATATCGCTGTTTTTCATACAAACAGATGAAAATACCAGTAGTCCTGTTCACTAGTAGAAAATTAGTCTATTTTTTTTTCTTTCCTTTTGGAAAAAAAAAAGAAGAAAAGAAATTAGAGGTCTACTTTCCAAATTAAGAAAGAACCCATTTTCTAGTTTTTAACTTAACAAAGACAGTTTTTTTTTAAAAAAAAAAAATACAAAAAAGGATGTTTTCCAATTTCTTTGATAAAAAGGCAACAATTTTCCCATTTAATAGAAAACACACTTTGAGGACCACCAATGGCTGTATTACAATCACCACACTACCACATGCTATCACTCATCCCCATCAGTCACCTCCATGACTTCTACTCACCACCTTTGTCCACTAAGCATTGCCCATCGCCACCATGCCACTACCCCTTGCCCTCATTTACCCACTGCAACTAGCAATCCTCTGCCATCTATCTCTAATCCATTTGAGTTGCTACTCATAGCACCACAGCCATTTTTGTTGGTATTTTTATATGAATAAAATTATCTGAGTTGAATGTGTTAATGCATTGTAACCAACACTACTTGTTTTCTAATTTCCAAGGAAAATGAAAACTAGAAATTGGAAAAGAAAAGAAAAAGTTATTAAACTAGCATGATGCCATATCATTAAATTTGAACAAACGTTTAATAAAGATGGTTGCAGAAAACAATTAGTGAATTGTTTTCTAAACTCTTACAAAATTGTGATGTGTTTGCCTTGGTTTGTTTTCCTCTAGTAAGTCTTTTTATACATGTATAATGGTTCTGTCATCTGTGGGTGCAATATTGATGCATACTAAAGTTGAGTGTGCATACAATGAACATACCTGTGGCTTTCTTGCAAGTACTGCAGTTGTTGCCTCAAGTTTGCCGCTTCCCTTTGCCAAAACTATCAAACAAAGAAGTACAATGTTTATGTTTCACCTAATCAAGTTGTAAGCACTAGATTAGCACAACTAAAGGTAATGAAAATATTTATTCAGAAAAGATGAATACTAATAAATGCTCGTTAGTCGTCCTAGGGGTATCATCTATTTTTAGTTGAAAATAGGCAAGATGAACCCTATTGTTTGTGCTGGTTAACTCATGTTTAAAGCCTATTTTACATATAATTTTTTCCCATAGGACTCAATATTCATGATAGATTGCAAAGATTTGGATCTCAAAAAGTAAATGCAAGTTGTGATATATAAGCCTCAAGCTTAGGACTAGTCAATATATTCATTCATATGCATGTATGTGTGTTACATACATACATAAATGTATATATACGGAAAATTCAACTAAGTCACTACAAACTTCACACCTAAATAAAAACATAAGGAAATATCTATTTCAATAAGTTCTTGACAAGAAATCCCCCCCTACAACTCTTAGGTCTTTGATTTAGCTAACAACCTAATGTGGATTTCCCCAACTGCATTAGTGGCAATCCTTTAGTGTAGGAACCCTCAGCCTACAATTGTGTGGTACCTTCATTTCTAATAGGAGTGTTATTTGGGTGTGAGAGATTTTCCGAAAAGGGGGAAAAGACCCTAGTATGTTGGGTGTAATGGGCTTGAGCAGAATGAAATGGGCTATGCATATAATATTAGTCGATAGATTATATATTTTGGTGAATTTTCAATTAATTGAGAAAATTGAAATTTCAAATAGAATTAACTCATAAACGAGATTTTTAAAAATTTAAAATCTATCACTGAATCGGAATTAATTTGGTTAATTGACCAATTAACCTAATTAATTTCCAATTTGGTTGGCTAGCCGAGCTAAAGCTAAACAAATGAACACCTCTAGCTTTAAGGTAATAATGCACCTGGGCATAATAACCTCTCCAAGATGTTGTGGTTTCTCTAGCCAATGAGAGAGAATGTTATACACATTTAGCCGGAGAAATCCTCATGTGATTCCACTCGAGGGACCAAATGTGGGTAAAAATTTTCTTAAGTGGTTTGATCATTGAGGCATTGAAAGGAAGGGAAACCAGAAGTGGAATACAGGGCTAATTTGGGTCTTGAAGGGATGGTAGTTCAATGACATTGTTGGAATATGGGTCATACATCAACTTGGTAAGAACTGAGAAGGCTGTGGTTGAGAGCTTCAATTGTGTCCTTTTAACCCTAACTGGTTTCATAGAGGCAATTGGAGGTCCATTTATTGGTCACTTTGCTATTTCTAGGACCTCCATGGAGGGGCTAACCGGCTAAATGATATACCATGAATTGTGTAATGGCCTAATTTTTCTATTTAAATCTGTTGCAGGTGAGGATGTTACTCTTCTCATTATTTACTTGAATTGGGAGACAAAAAGAATATTACAATGGTCTAATTGCTAAACCTTTGTGAAACTTCGCCTTCGACTAACCTTTTTCACACGGGTATACCCTATGCTTCGGTGCCTGTAAGTAGACTTCTATTCAACCAAGCATCTTCCACAGGCTTGTGATCTAATGTACCCCTCACATCATTGCAATCATCCGCCCTAGTCCACCCATGTTTCCTCCATTATGCAAGCTAATGGCAAGTTCAACAGCTGTCCTCAGAGAAACGAACTATCCTTCAATGGAATTGCATTGAATGTTCAACAACTGTCCTCTGAGAAACGAACTATCCTTTAATGGAATTACGTTGAAAGTTTAACGACTGTCCTCAGAGAAACGAACTATCCTTTAATGGAATTGCATTGAAGTATTGAACAATTCTTTGCATGACCGACCTTTCATCTTGCATTGCAGTCAAGTCTTTTGGACCTTCCGTTCATTCTTCTGCAAATGCAAAGAAGATATGGCATTAGATGTTAGCTTTTCCTAGTTCAAAGAGATTTCATTTACCTCGGGCATGTTTTCTCATGACCACCTCTTTCCTTCACTGCCATCCATTGAATTAAGTTTGACGGGATACGCTTAAGCAGAGAGGGGTGCTCATATTCAGCATTACTAATTTCCGTAACTTTGGAAAATAGGGCAATTAGACTCTACAGCCCCAAGCAAGGATCTAGAACTATCTTTGAAGATGCCCTGCCATCTTTATTTCTGATAAACTAGTGGTTATCTATGGGGTTGTTGAAGGTACCTATTCTCAAGAATTATCTGAGACCCAAAGCAAACTTCACCAAACTCCTGGTCTAAATGTACCATTATGAACTTAATTCTCCCAAAACTTTTTGTTTTGTTTTTAATTCTCGTATTCTGTCTTTTGTTACTGACTACTATGCAGGTATGATTCTAGCGGTTGATTTGATTGGCTTGCAGTCCTCATCAAAGCAAAACGGACATCAGGTATCATTCGTATGCACTTTCCTTCTGCTTCTTTCTGTCTCCATTTATGTCGTTCAGAACTCAGAAGCACCAACGCAATGCAATTGTTGGAGTATTAGATAAGCTAAACAACCAAACTTTAGTTGAAGCAATGCTGAAAAAACAGCCATCACAAAACCAACTTCTGTCTTGGAATGATTTAGGTGATCCATTTTTCTCCAAACAATCCTTGAAATAATTGTCTGCCAGAGAACAGCTCAAGTGTTGTGGTTTTAGCAAATGCCTAAGTTTTAAGTTTTAAAGGAGAGGGGAGAGGATCTATGACTATCTACTCTTGATCAGCCATGCAGGAAGAGATAAAGACACAATCTGAATGTGAAATTTGTACTTCAATAACAATTTTATTTATTTATTTATTTTAACAATGGAATTTGGGTCTTGGTAAATTTGTTTTGAATATTCTGGTGTATTGGCTTTGTGAACTCATAATAGATGTACTATTTTTTGGCCTATAATAAGAACTAAATTATGATGATTGTGCCTAACCAACCATTCATTATCTCTGTCTCTTTGTTAAAAATATACACGTGTCAGACTTAAATAATCAGTCTGCCCAAGGAGCACATCTATAATCTATGTTAATCCCCAAAGTGGGGATTATTTCTTCAATAATTTTAATTTTGATATAATCTAATTAAGGGAGCAATTCGTTCAAACATTGAAATCTAAATTGTAATAGGACTTCCAAATACTTGGTAATTGACTAATTGTAATGGATTTAAGTGGTAATAAATAATAATTAGAATCAAAATAATTAATTAAAAATAAATAATATTATAGAATACATAGATATACACAGATATATGTGTGTTTATATATTAAAGTTTCATATTGATATTGAATGCATGGATAATGATTTTTTTTCGTCCTATTCTTTATTCTATTGTTCAAAAGTATCCAAGGGAAGGGTAATGAGTTGTATGATTATTAAAAGATTTGAATCTAAAAATGAAATAGTAAAAATAGGCTAACAAACATGGTAACGGATGTCAAATTCGATAATAGGGTACAGAAGTCACCAACCAAACGTAACCTAAGTAATGACCCTTAGATACAAAACACAATAGAATGAGCAATTGCAGGGCGTAAAGTGATTGAATTTAATAGAATTGGCAATCGTGAGTGCAAAATGATTAATGTTTATAGAGTTGTCAATTGAAGGGTGTAAAGTGATTGTATTTTATCAAGTAAACAAAGTATAAAAGTCAAGATATTTATTAAGAGTATTAATTGGGTATGTTGGCAATGCCACCTTAGGTGACCTTGCACAGCTTACAAAGGAATCATTAGTACGCCACTAAAGAATCATTAGTATGCCACTAAAGAGGAACCAATTTAAGAGGGAAACGTAGGATCTTAGCATATCGTCATACCTCATACTATAATTGACTTGAAAACAACGTTCCTTATCTCTAATAGTAATTGCATTGATAGCAACATCAACCACTTAAAGAATAACTAATGCATCTATACCGCCCAGATAATATCTATAAATAACTCTCTACCTAACTAAAAACTAACTATTTATTTAGAGTTCACAAGTTTGATTCTTATTAACACTTATAAAATTAAAAAAAGTATCTAGTGGGAGCAGGTAGCCTATTGACTTTCTTAATTTGAGCCAATAAGCTATGTGCAACTTATACTGATTTACCGGCATCTTAGTGGCCTTTTGACGACTAGGCTCACAAAATGTGGTTTACTCCGTGCATACCAATGACTACAAGTTTTCTTCGTGATTCAAAAATAAAAAGAAAAAGAGCCTTGAAAGGGATAGCCGTGTGGGTGAATCATGATTCTCGTATTATAATGTCATGAGTTTGATTTAATCTTACCTACATCCTTTCGG